AGGGACAGGCCCGAGCCGGGAGCAGCTGGCGGTGCCGCCGGCCCCACTTCGGGGAGTGACGGGCGGCGGACTGCACGTCTCCCTGGAGCCTGTGCTGCGTTTAGGACCGAAGACAAGCAGGTCACACCCACAGGCCAATGCGGCCAAGCACACAGGCTTCCGTGGATGTGGCCACAAACACGACGCTTCAACTCGCACAGAAACGCAGGCTTATTTCCACGGAGACAGGCCGCATACAAAGGGCTGAGAGAGACGGGTCATCGTTCACATAAAATAACAGAACCTTTTAATAAAAATTAGTACTTCTTCTTGAACATTAACCTACCAGACACTGAATAACTGCACAAATTAGTAAGCCTAACACAAATAAACCTATATCTCTTGTTCTCCAAAAGTGAAATATTTCCTGTTGTGCACACCAAGCAAGTCAGTCCAAGACTGAGGACGTGGCCATCGGCTGCTAGAACATTCGCTGCTGGTGTTAGCGGAGAGAAATGGTGCGCCTGCGCGTGAGGCGCGTAAGGGAAGTGAATGCAGCACGATGATAGTCATCAGTCATCAGCGAACGTTGTAGTTCGTTAATAATTACATATAACAGGATACTGTAAAAATTAAGTTACGAAATTTTTATTAAAACGTTTCTTACACACTGTTATATTGGCTGGGCCGCAAAAACATTCGTTGTGGGCGCATGTGGCCTGCGAGCCGCGAGTTTGACACACTTGCTCTAAGATGAGATCCCTGGGGCAGAGGTGGCCTGACGCCCAGTGGCAGGGCCCTTGTGTGAGAAGACACACTAGACCAGCCGTGGGCAAACTACGGCCCGCGGGCCGGATCCGGCCTGGTTGGAATGAATAAAACTAAAAAAAAAAAAACCGTACCCTTTTTTTTAATGATGTTTACTTTGAATTTATATTAGTTCACACAAACACTCCATCCATGCTTTTGTTCCGGCCCTCCGGTCCAGTTTAAGAACCCATTGTGGCCCTCGAGTCAAAAAGTTTGCCCACCCCTGGTAGTGGGAGAAATCACCAAGTCCAGTCAAAGGGTTAAGTACTGGGACGGTGACTCAGGCAGGGACTCGGGATTCCAGGGAAGTCTCCTAGCCTGGGATGGGATGGAATGAGGGTAGGGGCTGAGCTGAGTCTTTTTAAAGGAGCAAGAGTCAGTCTGGTGACATGCAGGGGACATGGCACTTCAGACAGAGGGGAGAGCATAAGTAAAAAGAGTAAAAACAGAGGAGAGGACAGCACCGTGATGGCGAACCTTTTGAGCTCGGCGTGTCAGCATTTTGAAAAACCCTAACTTAACTCTGGTGCCGTGTCACATATAGAAATTTTTTGATATTTGCAACCATAGTAAAACAAAGATTTATATTTTTGATATTTATTTTATATATTTAAATGCCATTTAACAAAGAAAAATCAACCAAAAAAATGAGTTCGCGTGTCACCTCTGACACGCGTGTCATAGGTTCGCCATCACTGAACTAAGCCATACTGGCCAGGGCCAGCATAAAATTCTTTTAAGAGTAAAAGCTAAAAGTAGTGGTAGGTGCCTATGATTTCCCTGGTTATCTTGTTCTTTGCCCATTTGCCACAATTTGCTAGAACAAGCATGTCAAATTCAAAGGCTAACATAGGCTAAATAAACAAGGTATAAGTTTATGTGGGCTGCAAAAAAACAAAAGCTTCAATTTTCACAGAAACGTAGGTTTATTTCGATAGAGACATGCTGAATACAAAGGGCTGAAATAAATGAGTAATTGTTACATAAAATAATAGAACATTTTAATAAAAATTAATATTTTTTCTTGAACATTAACTTACCAGACACTGAATAACTGCACAAATTAATAAGCATAATGCCAATAAACCTATTTTTCTTGTTCTCTGAAAGTGAAATATTTCCTGTTGTTCACACCCAACAAGTCAGTCCAAGACTAATGATGTGGCAATCGGCCGCTAAAATATTCGCTGCTAGTATTAGTGGAGAGAAATGGTGCGACCGCATGTAAGGCGAGTAAGGGAAATGAATGCAACACGATTATAGTAATCAGTCATTAGCGAACGTTGTAGTTCCTTATTAATAAATATATATAACAAGATAATGTAAAAATTAAGTTACAAAATTTTTGTTAAAACGTTTCTTACACACTGTTATATTGGCTGGGCCGCAAAAACATTCGTTGTGGGCGCATGTGGCCTGCGGGCCGCGAGTTTGACACACTTGCTCTAAGATGAGATCCCTGGGGCTGAGGTGGCCTGACGCCCAGTGGTAAGGCCCTTGTGTGAGAAGACACACTAGACCAGTGATGGCGAACCTATGACACGCGTGTCAGAGGTGACACGCGAACTCATTTTTTTGGTTGATTTTTCTTTGTTAAATGGCATTTAAATATGTAAAATAAATATAAAAAATATAAGTCTTTGTTTTACTATGGTTGAAAATATCAAAAAATTTCTATATGTGACACGGCACCAGAGTTAAGTTAGGGTTTTTCAAAATGCTGACACGCCGAGCTCAAAAGGTTCGCCGTCACTGCACTAGACAGACTGAGTGACGGGGCCACGAGCAGGGACGCCCACAGATCCAGAGCTGGAAGGTGCCTGGGACTGGCCCTGCTCCGAGCGCGAGGGAACAGCCCTGAGAGGCGCCCCCACCCGGCCAGGTGTGACCGCAGCCCCAGGAACCCAGCGGGGGGGCCCCCCCATCCCCTCCCCGAGACTGGAAGGGAAACAAGGGACTCGTGGAACATGCAGGAGAGCAGAGAGGAGAGGGAGGGGCAGGCCACTGGGCAGAGTGTGGAGTTCTGCACTCACCTCCGACCCCAGCCCGACACCCGCTCCCTCAGCAGGCGGGGCCTGGACAGGCCGCCAGAGCGCTTCCCACCCTGGGCTTCCCACCCCTGGGCTTCCCACCCCTGGGCTTCCCACCCCTGGCGGCGGCAGCAGCAGGAGAGGCCCCACGACCCAGGTGCCTTCGGGCAGAGCCTGAGCCACAGCCCATGGGAGAGACGGACAAGCACCGGAGAGAGAGCACAGACGGACCCTGGACCCGGGTGCGGGGCAGGAGCTGGGAGACCAGCCACAGGGGACGGACGGAGCCGGGACAGTGCGCGGCCGCCGAGGGGCTGAACAGAAACAACCAAGGTGTGAGCGTGAACCACCGCGTGTGGACCGTCGTCGGGCACCGCTGTCGGGAGGGCCCGTCTCCAAGTCTCGCCTCAGCAGAGGGAAGCAGAAGGAGGAAGAAGAAACAGAAAGATGGGTGGGCTTCACCTCACTTGTTACAAAGACGTAGACCGGCTCCCAGAACCCCGCCAGCGGCACGAACAGACGCTTCATCAGGCCGCTCGGCAAAGGTTCGCTGGCGAGCCCGCCGGATGAACGGGAGGATCCCACCAACGCTGAGGCCTCCGCCGGAGACAGAAACGAGGGGGCACCTTCTGACTGGCCCAGGGGGCCGGCTCCACCCCCACCAGACACACGCGTTACAAGGGAAGAAAAACTGCAGACCAGCATCTCTATAAACACAGTGCAGAACCCTCAACAACTGTCAGCCACGTGACTCCAACAGGGTATAGGCCAGCGATGGCGAACCTTTTGAGCTCGGCGTGTCAGCATTTTGAAAAACCCTAACTTAACTCTGGGGCCGTGTCGCATAGAGAAATTTTTTGATATTTGCAACCATAGTAAAACAAAGATTTATATTTTTGATATTTATTTTATATATTTAAATGCCATTTAACAAAGAAAAATCAACCAAAAAAATGAGTTCACGTGTCACCTCTGACACGCATGTCATAGGTTCGCCATCACTGGAGTAGACCAAGCGTGCCATTAGCAAGAATACAGCCTGGTGTTGAATTAAAAGGTTTCTGAGGTAGATGCTCCTTGTCTGTGCTTCTTAGATTGTCAGTATCTCACCAACGTGTGACTACCCAATGAGGTAACACCTCCCAGGTCACTGAGAGGAAGCTTCCATCCACTTGACTCTTTGGAACCCAAGTTCTTATAATGTCCCCTCCCTCTGTCACTGAGAATTCTCAGGGGATGCATGCATGCTCCACAGAACCTGCTGGTATTGCTTGCTTCCTCGGCCATTTGCATAGGTATCACATTTACTGTTTGCTCTGCCATGAGAGGGACCACCTCTACACCTGGTCCCTGGTTGCTACTGTCATCTACCGAGTGGCTGCATGGCGATCAGCAGAGACCTCTTCTTAAATGCTCCCAGTAATAGCTGGGACCAGGCTATATTTAAAAGACCTTAAAAAGCAGACAATAAAGATTAATTATACTGAGATATGGTCATACTTTCAACAATAAAGATAAATTAAAAATAATTGCACCGAGATACGGACACTCTTCTATTTTACAAGCCCAGACCAGAGCTCATCCCCAAAGGTCGATCCCGTCAGCCGCAGCAGGGCCGGGGGAGGCCGGGGAAGGCCAGGGAGGCTGAGCCTCGATCCCGTCAGCCGCGGCAGGGCCGGGGGAGGCTGACACTCACGTCAGCTACTTTCCTGGCACCGGAAGGCAGGCCGCAGGGCTGATGGCAGAGGGCCTGCCAGGAACAGCAGTGCCCAGGTCCATGGGGGCAACAGTGGCCCCAGCGGCCTCCTCAAAGCAGAGGATGGAAGATGAACAGGGACACCGCCGAGGCTGTAACAGGGACAGCGCTGGCAGGGGTGCCTCTGAGAAGCACACTCGTCCGTCCAGGGAAGACAGCACGGTAGCCCTGGGGCCGCGGCGGGTGACGATCCAGCAGTGAAGAAGGAACAGGGCCGACAGGCACCACACGGCACATTCAAGGGTCCCACAGCCCAACATGAGCTGGGGACAAACCCAGGGAGGGTGGAGGGCGTGTGGAGGCAGCAACCAGTGAAGGGTGCAAGCTCAGACCCCCATCCCAGTAAGACGAATTTTCAAAGGGATGGCCCTGAAACCTGAGGGGGGCGGGTCTGTCCCCCCAGCTCCCACCAGCGTCCGCGCCCAGGCGGGTACCCCACCTGGTCACTGGGTTCTGACCCCAGTGTCACCCGCACAGCGTCCCCCCCACCCCAGCGCGGTGCCCGGGGCCTGGCACTCACTCTCCTCGTCAACTTTCAGCTCCTGGTTGTTCTTTATCTTCTCAGCAACTTCCCTCTCGTTATGGCCTTTGCTCACCAAGAACTTCACCTTGTACTCATCCCAGGACACGCGGCCTGAAAACGCAGGTTATCCTGTTAGAGCGCCTAACAGCAAACACTTTTAAAAACAGATGCTCTATTTCTTAGAAACATTTGTATTGATTTTAGAGAGGAAAGGAGAGGGAGAGACAGACAGAAACATCAACGACAATCATCAGTAGGCTGCCTCCCGCACGCCCCCTACTGGGGATGGAGCCTATAGCCCAGGCACGTGACCCCCTGGTTCATAGTTTGATGCTCAACCACTGGGCCTCACCGGCCAGGCTGCATGCGGATTTTAACAGATTCTTAAAAGAACTATCTATCCCGGCCCCTGTGGCTCAGTGGTGAGCGTCGTTCGACCTCTGAACTAGGGGGTCATGGTTCGATTCCTGGTCAGGACGCATGCCCGAGTTGTGGGTGATCCCCAGTTGGGGTGCATACAGCAGGCAACCAATTGATGTTTCTTTCTCACATCGACGTTTCTCTCATTCCTTCCGTCTCTCAGAATCGATAAAATCCCGTGCACGCACTGTGGAGGCAGAGGCACGCAGGCGGCCGATTCCAACCTCTCCCAGCCCCTCCTGGCCAGCAGAGCGAGCTGGGAAGTGGCCTCTCAGGCAGCACCCCTGGGCCCCTCCGGCCCTCCCGTCCTCCGTCCTGGGCCCCCAGACCCAGCGGGGTCAGGGCCGGTGAGGGCGG